CCATTGCCTAAGCCTCACTGATTTCTCCCTGCCTAAGCCTCACTGATTTCTCCCTGCCTAAGCCTCACTGATTTCTCCATTGCCTAAGCCTTACTGATTTCTCCCATGCCTAAGCCTCACTGATTTATCCCTTGCCTAAGCCTCACTGATTTCTCCCTTGCCTAAGCCTCACTGATTTCTCCCTGCCTAAGCCTCACTGATATCTCCCTTGCCTAAGCCTCACTGATTTCTCCCTTGCCTAAGCCTCACTGATTTCTCTCCTGCCTAAGCCTTACTGATTTCTCCCATGCCTAAGCCTCACTGATTTCTCCCTGCCTAAGCCTCACTGATTTCTCTCCTGCCTAAGCCTTACTGATTTCTCTCCTGCCTAAGCCTTACTGATTTCTCCCATGCCTAAGCCTCACTGATTTATCCCTTGCCTAAGCCTCACTGATTTCTCCCTTGCCTAAGCCTCACTGATTTCTCCCTTGCCTAAGCCTCACTGATTTCTCCCATGCCTAAGCCTCACTGATTTCTCCCCATGCCTAAGCCTCACTGATTTCCCCCTTTGCCTAAGCCTAAACTGATTTTCTCCTGCCTAAGCCTTACTGATTTTCTCCCATGCCTAAGCCTCACTGATTTCTCCCTGCCTTAGCCTCACTGATTTCTCTCCTGCCTAAGCCTTACTGATTTCTCCCATGCCTAAGCCTCACTGATTTCTCCCTTGCCTAAGCCTCACTGTTTTTCTCCGTTGCCTAAGCCTCATTGATTTCTCCTTGCCTAAGCCTCACTGATTTCTCCCATGCCTAAGCCTCACTGATTTCTCCCTTGCCTAAGCCTCACTGATTTCTCCCATGCCTAAGCCTCACTGATTTCTCCCCTGCCTAAGCCTCACTGATTTCTCCCTTGCTTAAGCCTCACTGGTTTCTCCCCTGCCTAAGCCTCACTCGTTTCTCCCCTGCCTAAGCCTCACTGATTTCTCCCCTGCCTAAGCCTCACTGATTTCTCCCTGCCTAAGCCTCACTGATTTCCCCCCTGCCTAAGCCTCACTGGTTTCTCCCCTGCCTAAGCCTCACTGATTTCTCCCCTGCCTAAACCTCACTGATTTCTCCCCTGCCTAAGCCTCACTGGTTTCTCCCCTGCCTAAGCCTTACTAGTTTCTCCCCTGCCTAAGCCTCACTGATTTCTCCCCTGCCTAAGCCTCACTGGTTTCTCCCTGCCTAAGCCTCACTGATTCTCCCCTTCTTAAGCCTCACTGGTTTCTCCCCTGCCTAAGCCTCACTGGTTTCTCCCCTGCCTAAGCCTCACTGGTTTCTCCCCTGCCTAAGCCTCACTGATTTCTCCCTTGCCTAAGCCTCACTGACTTCCCCCTGCCAAAAGCCTCACTGACTTCTCCCCTGCCTAAGCCTCACTGATTTCCCCCTGCCTAAGCCTCACTGATTTCCCCCCTGCCTAAGCCTCACTGATTTCCCCCCTGCCTAAGCCTCACTGATTTCCCCCCTGCCTAAGCCTTACTGATTTCCCCCCTGCCTAAGCCTCACTGATTTCCCCCCTGCCTAAGCCTCACTGATTTCCCCCCTGCCTAAGCCTCACTGATTTCTCCCCTGCCTAAGCCTCACTGATGTTATTACATGTTCTGGTAGGTACACAGTCCGCACACAGAATTAATTAGTCTTCTCAGGACCTGTAGTGTAGCAGGTTCGCAGGTCTTGACCCGTCTCGGGTCTCAGAACCTTGTTAAATACTCTCACGAAGGGTATACCTGGACTGGATTTCGGGGATCAGCGTCCCTGCGGCTGGGTCTGAAACCAGGCCTCGTGGTGGATCTGTCTGTTACTGCTAGCCGCACGTAAGGGACGTAGGGACCACAGCCTGGTTGGTCAGGTACTGACTTTAGGTGCCTGTCCAGTGCCTTCTTGAAGACAGCTAAGTGTCTTGAAGACAGCCAGGGGTCTTGAAGACAGCCAGGGGTCTGGAAGACAACCAGGGATCTTGAAGACAACCAGGGGTCTTGAAGACAACCAGGGATCTTGAAGACAGCCAGGGGTCTTGAAGACAACCAGGGATCTTGAAGACAACCAGGGGTCTTGAAGACAACCAGGGGTCTTGAAGACAACCAGGGGTCTTGAAGATAACCAGGGATCTTGAAGACAACCAGGGATCTTGAAGACAGCCAGGGGTCTTGAAGACAACCAGGGATCTTGAAGACAGCCAGGGGTCTTGAAGACATCCAGGGGTCTTGAAGACAACCCATGGGTCTTGAAGACAACCAGGGTCTTGAAGACAACCATGGGTCTTGAAGACAACCAGGAGTCTTGAAGACAACCAGGGGTCTTGAAGACAACCAGGGGTCTTGAAGACAACCAGGGGTCTTGAAGACAACCAGGGGTCTTGAAGACAACCAGGGGTCTTGAAGACAACCAGGGGTCTTGAAGACAACCAGGGGTCTTGAAGACAACCAGGGGTCTTGAAGACAACCAGGGGTCTATTAGTAATCCCCCTTATGTATCCTGGGAGACAGTTGAACAGTCTTGGACCCCTGACACTTACCGTGTTGTCTCTCAGTGTACTCGTGGCGCTCCAACTTTTCACTGGGGGAATATTAGTGTTGATGCAACTTAATTAGTCACAACCTTACTAAGAGTAATTTTTTCGACCTGTATTTCTCCCAGATTTCATTACTTTTATTGCAATAAACTGGGAAAATTACAGTGGTAATCTTTATACACTCATTTCTGAGATGATCATCCAGTTGCCTTTACTCATCCACACTGATAACTTGACAGTGCACGTTCTGGACAGGTTCAGACTTGATGTGCTTGTGTGTTTTAGGATAGTGGTTTTTCTTGAGATAGAATATGCTTTAGTTAGGCTTAAAAGCTGGTATTTGTTAGTAGAAATTGGAATTTGTATAAACCATGACACGGGTGGGGTTAGAACCCACGATCAGAGAGTCGCAAAACCCCAGACCGACGCGCTAGCCACTGGACCAGCGGGAGATTCGTCTGTGAAAATTTGCATTTGTGGTCACAGTGGTGGCCTATGCTGACCTTCCTATGGTGTAGAAATATGCCTAGTTGGATGAATCTTATTGTAGGCAGCTGATCCAAGGGGATACCTCGGATCATTGAGGTACTGGGGACTGGTGTTATACCTTGGAGCATTGAGGTACTGGGGACTGGTGTTATACCTTGGAGCATTGAGGTACTGGGGACTGGTGTTATACCTCGGATCATTGAGGTACTGGGGACTGGTGTTATACCTTGGAGCATTGAGGTACTGGGGACTGGTGTTATACCTTGGAGCATTGAGGACTGGGGACTGGTGTTATACCTCGGATCATTGAGGTACTGGGGACTGGTGTTATACCTTGGAGCATTGACGGTCTGGGGATGGTGTTATACCTTGGATCATTGAGGTACTGGGGACTGGTGTTATACCTTGGAGCATTGAGGTACTGGGGACTGGTGTTATACCTTGGATCATTGATGTTCTGGGGACTGGTGTTATACCTTGGAGCATTGAGGTACTGGGGACTGGTGTTATACCTTGGATCATTGATGTTCTGGGGACTGGTGTTATACCTCGGATCATTGATGTTCTGGGGACTGGTGTTATACCTTGGAGCATTGAGGTACTGGGGACTGGTGTTATACCTTGGAGCATTGATGTTCTGGGGTCTGGTGTTATACCTTGGATCATTGAGGTACTGGGGACTGGTGTTATACCTTGGAGCATTGTGGTACTGGGGACTGGTGTTATACCTTGGATCATTGAGGTACTGGGGACTGGTGTTATACCTCGGATCATTGAGGTACTGGGGACTGGTGTTATACCTTGGAGCATTGAGGTACTGGGGACTGGTGTTATACCTTGGATCATTGAGGTACTGAGGACTGGTGTTATACCTTGGAGCATTGATGTTCTGGGGACTGGTGTTATACCTTGAATCATTGAGGTTCTGGGGACTGGTATACAATATGGGGATACCTTGGATCATCGAGGTACTGGGGACTGGTGTTATACCTTGGATCATTGAGGTACTGGGGACTGGTGTTATACCTTGGATCATTGATGTTCTGGGGACTGGTGTTATACCTTGGAGCATTGAGGTTCTGGGGACTGGTATACAATATGGGGATACCTTGGATCATCGAGGTACTGGGGACTGGTATACAATATGGGGATACCTTGGATCATCGAGGTACTGGGGACTGGTATACAATATGGGGATACCTTGGATCATCGAGGTACTGGGGACTGGTATACAATATGGGGATACCTTGGATCATCGAGGTACTGGGAACTGGTATACAATATGGGGATACCTTGGATCATCGAGGTACTGGGGACTGGTATACAATATGGGGATACCTTGGATCATTGAGGTAACTGGGACTGGTATACAATATGGGATACCTTGGATCATCGAGGTACTGGGGACTGGTATACAATGGGGGATACCTTGGATCATTGAGGTACTGGGGAACTGGTATACAATAGGGGATACTTGGATCATCGAGGTACTGGGGACTGGTATACAATATGGGATACCTTGGATCATCGAGGTACTGGGGACTGGGTTTTACATATGGGGATACCTTGGATCATTGAGGTACTGGGGACTGGTATACAATATGGGGATACCTTGGATCATTGAGGTACTAGGGACTGGTATACAATATGGGGATACCTTGGATCATTGAGGTACTGGGGACTGGTATACAATATGGGGATACCTTGGATCATTGAGGTACTAGGGACTGGTATACATATGGGGATACCTTGGATCATTGAGGTACTGGGGACTGGTATACAATATGGGGATACCTTGGATCATTGAGGTACTGGGGACTGGTGCTATACAATACCAGTATTGTATGCCCCCACATGTTTCAGTCAAGATATTGAATTATTCTGATTGCATTTGCCTTAGTAATGCAGTTCAGCTGTATTTTAGGTGAAATTCAGATACAGTGATGATTTGCATACGTGTAATTAGGTATGTTGCTGTATTTCAGGTGAAGCTCGCGTGATTGGAGAGTTAATCACAGGACGCGACGGTAACAACTACTCCCCTGGAGGGGAGTCGTGGAAGTGTGCCTTCGCTCCTGACGAGTCTCGCTTCGCCTGGTCGTGTGGCTTTAGGAAGGTCGTTATTCTTCCATGGAACAGATACAAGAACTGCCTGTAAGTATTTACTCCCTCTGCTTGTTATCTTAACACACTTCTAGTTAGCACTTCACAGGTACAAGTACTGGTTATACCTTTGACGAGTTCTGGGTTTTTCTCCACCCGGAGTCCGGTCATGGGTCTGTAAGCCCTTATTACCTCTGCTTATCTTAACACACTTCTAGCTGGGTTTCTCACATACATGAACAGCCTCTGTGTTCTCACTACCTTCTTGCTATGTTCCTGTCCCTAAATACTAGGTTTTTTTTATAATGTCGTTGGAGTAACTTAGCCTAAGAGTCCAGGACATCTCTATTTGGCTTCCGTTTCGGGGATTTTTCCCAATTCGTTAAATTTTACTCTGGGGGAATTTGTGTTACTGTCCTTATTCTTCCACCAGTTGCAGTGATGAGGTGGTCTGTACAACTTAAAAATATCTGACCATCAAGTGGACCTCTAGTGGACCACTTGGTGGGACACAGAATGACACATCTGGTGTCTGTCTAGTGTTGGAAGTGTTACTAGATGACACTTTGTGATCATAGGTGTTGAAGGTGTGATTCTCAGTGTTCTTGCCTGTTAGTTTCGTGCCCATCACTTGCTGAGTGGCATTTCCAGTTTACACTCAGTGGTCACTTTATTGGGTACATCCGTTTAGTACTGGGTAGTGCCCTCCATTGCCACCAGAACAGTCTAAATTTTTGGTGGCATGGTTACAAGGTACTGGAAGCATTCCTTAGAGATCCTGATTTGTCCTGATTTGTATTATGATCCATTTTGCAGGTCTTGCAGATATGTTGGCTGCACATTCATGCTGCAAATCTCCTGTTCCATCACATCCCAAAGGTTCATGCCTAATTCCGTCATCTTCATATCCTACAGATATCGAAATTCGTCAGACCAGGTGACGTTTTCCCAATCTTCAACTGTCCAGTCTTTTTGAGCCAGTGCCAACTGTAGTTAAGTGGACAGGAGTGGAACTTGATGTGGCTTTCTGCTGTTGCAGCCCATCCACTTCAGAGTTCTATGTGTTGTGCATTCGAAGATGCTATTCTGCATACCACTGTTGTAATGCATGGTTATTTGAGTTACTGTCAGCTTGAACCAGTCTGGCCATTCTGCTCTGACATCAATCATTATCAAGGCGTTTTGCTTTGCATTTTTCACACCATCTTCTGTAAACTCAAGACTGTTTCATAAAACCCCCTAAAGATACTTTTCGAGATACCAAACCATCTCGTCTGTTGGCACCAACAAAAATTCCACTCACAGAAACGTGTCTTCCCATTACAAACCATACCACGAGGGGGGTTAAACCCACGATCAGGATTTCCAGAACTCCAGACCGCGCGTTATCCAGGGGCAACACACGGCTGGATTTTGAAAAATCTGATCGGTGTTCAAACCCCCACTGGGGTAGGATTTTTTTTTGCATGTTTTTAGACACGAGGTGTACCATACATTGGCTGATTAATTTTGCATCAGGGAGCGGTGTAAGGTGTGCCTAATAAATTACCACTGAGTGTAAGCTTTTTTCCCAGTCTTCAGAAATATTTTGAAGTTTAACTCCATGAGGGAAAAAATTTATGGTAATTCGACAAATTTCACAGCAGAAAAATGTAAACCCCATACTTTTTACAACAAAAAGGGTTTTTATACCATACTTGTTACAACAGCACATTTACTACCAACTTGTTACAAAAACACAGTGTTTAATACCTTGTTACACAAAAACCAGTGTTACTCCCAACTTGTTACAAAAACACAGTTACTACCAACTTTTTACAACAACAGTGTTATCCAATTTTACAACAACACAGGTTTTACCCCAACTTGTTAAAACACAGTGCCCTACCATACTTTTTAAAACCCCCACATATGTTACTCCCTACTTGTTAAAACAACACATGTCACTACCATACTTGTTACCACCACAGATGTACTACCATACTTTTTCAACAACACATGTCACTACCAACTTTTTTACAACAACCATATTTTACTACCATATTGTTACAACAACACAGTGTCACTACCATTTGTTACAACAAACACAGTAAGTTACTCCCATACGTTACAAAACACAGTAATGTTTCCCATACTTGTTACAAAAACACAGTGTTACTCCAATTTGTTACAACACCAAAGTAGTGTTACTACCAACTTGTTACAAAAAACAGTAACAAAGTAGTAAACTGGGGGGAAAAAAGACCCCCCTCTACAGAAACGACAAGAGTCACTGAGCTCCTCAGGATGCTAGAATATCTGATAAAACAAAAGGGAGGCGCTGCCCGGGGGAAGGGAAACTATCGAACTTAACTAAATACTCTTAAGGAAACCCAGGAGAGGCAGGAGGCTTAAAGCTATTAGAAAATTGAAAGAAATTCCCAAAAATTTTCTTTTTATACCAAAAACAAGGCAAAAACCACATCTAGTATCGGGCCCTTACTCAGACAGGATGGGACTTACACAGACGACAACAAGGAAATGAGTGAAATATTGAAATCCCAGTACGACTCTGTGTTTAGTGAACCACTAATCGGTCTGAGGATCGACGACCCAAATGATTTCTTCATGAATGAGCCTCAAAACTCCATAAATGTATGCCAGATTTCCGACATTACCCTAACTCCGATAGATTTCGAAAAAGCCATTGACAACATGCCTATGCACTCAGCCCCGGGCCCAGACTCGTGGAACTCTGTTTTCATTAAGAACTGCAAGAAACCCCTCTCGCGTGCCCTAAGTACACTATGGAGGAGGAGCTTGGACAGGGGTGAAATTCCACAGTCACTTAAAACAACGGATATGCCCCACTCCATAAAGGTGGCAGCAAAGCATTAGCTAAGAACTATAGACCAATAGCTCTGACGTCCCACATCATAAAATCTTAAAGAGTGCTAAGAAGCAGATTGCAAATCACCTGGATTCCCAAAATCTGCACAATCCAGGGCAACATGGGTTCAGGGCAGGTCGCTCCTCCCTCTCACAACTACTGGATCACTATGATATGTCCTTGGATGCACTGGAAGAAAATCAGAATGCAGATGTAATATACACAGACTTTGCAAAAGCATTTGACAAATGCGATCATGGCGTAATAGCCCATAAAATACGTGCTAAAGGAATAACTGGGAAAGTGGGGAGATGGATCTTCAACTTCCTAACAAATCGAACACAGAGTAGTGGTCAACAGAGTTAAATCGGAGGCTGCCATAGTGAAGAGCTCTTGTTCCACAAGGCACAGTACTCGCCCCCATCTTATTCCTTATCCTCATATCAGACATAAACAGAGATATACACCACAGCACCGTATCATCCTTTGCGGATGATACTAGGATCTGCATGAGGCTGTCATCTGCTGAGGACGCGGTTTAACCTCCAAGAAGATATAAACAAAGTTTTCCAGTGGGCAACGGTAAACAATATGATGTTCAATGAGGAAAAATTTCCCCAACTACTCCGTTATGGAAAACTGGAGAAGATAATAACTAGAACAGAGTATACTACTGACTCCGGCCATACAATAGAGCGGAAAAATAATGTAAGGGACCTGGAGTAGTAATGTCTGAGGATCTCACTTTCAAGGATCACAACAGTGCCACGATCGCACGTGCAAAGAAAATGATAGGATGGATAATGAGAACTTTCAAAGCGAGAGATGCCAAGCCCATGATGATCCTTTTCAAATCACTTGTTCTCTCTAGGCTGGAATACTGCTGTACATTAACATCTCCATACAAAGCAGGTGAAATCGCAGATCTAGAGAGTGTACAGAGATCCTTTACTGCACGTTATAAGGTTCTGTCAAGCACCTTAACTACTGGGAACGCTTGAAAGCACTTGGCTTGTACTCGTTGGAATGCAGGAGGGAGAGATATATCATAATCTACACTTGGAAAATCTTGGAAGGAATGGTCCCAAATCTGCACACAGAAATCACTCCCTACGAAAGTAAAAGACTGGGCAGGCGATGCAAAATGCCGCCAATAAAAAGTAGGGGCGCCATTGGTACACTAAGAAAAACACCATAAGTGTCCGGGGCCCAAAACTGTTCAACAGCCTCCCATCAAGCATTAGGGGAATTGCCAATAAACCCCTGGCTGCCTTCAAGAGAGAGCTGGACAGATACCTAAAGTCAGTGCCGGATCAGCCGGGCTGTGGCTCGTACGTCGGACTGCGTGCGGCCAGCAGTAACAGCCTAGTTGATCAGGCCCTGATCCATCGGGAGGCCTGGTCGTGGACCGGACGCGGGGGCGTTGATCCCCGGAATAACCTCCAGGTAACCTCCAGGTAACTACCATACTTGTTACAACAACACAGTAGTGTTACTACCATACTTGTTACAACAACACAGTGTTACTACCACCAGTCATGTGTGGGTTGTCCTGTACACCAGTCATGTGTGGGTTGTCCTGTACACCAGTCATGTGTGGGTTGTCCTGTACACCAGTCATGTGTGGGTTGTCCTGTACACCAGTCATGTATGGGTTGTCCTGTACACCAGTCATGTGTGGGTTGTCCTGGACACCAGTCATGTGTGGGTTGCCCTGTACACCAGTCATGTGTGGGTTGTCCTGTACACCAGTCATGTGTGGGTTGTCCTGTACACCAGTCATGTATGGGTTGTCCTGTACACCATCATGTGTGGGTTGTCCTGTACACCAGTCATGTGTGGGTTGTCCTGTACACCAGTCATGTGTGGGTTGTCCTGTACACCAGTCATGTGTGGGTTGTCCTGTACACCATCATGTATGGGTTGTCCTGTACACCAGTCATGTGTGGGTTGTCCTGGACACCAGTCATGTGTGGTTGTCCTGTACACCAGTCATGTGTGGGTTGCCCTGTACACCAGTCATGTGTGGGTTGTCCTGTACACCAGTCATGTATGGGTTGTCCTGTACACCAGTCATGTGTGGGTTGTCCTGTACACCAGTCATGTGTGGGTTGTCCTGTAACCCAGTCATGTGTGGGTTGTCCTGTACACCAGTCATGTGTGGGTTGTCCTGTACACCAGTCATGTATGGGTTGTCCTGTACACCAG